TACCACGGGGTCCCCCGGGGCGAGCTGACACTGTTACACCCTGCACCTGCAGGTCTGCTTGAATTAGTTTGGTAGTTGGTCGAGGTTCTTTACCCACCATTAGAACAATCCTTTGTTGCAATCTGTCATCTATTTTTCTCTTTTGTCCACATCCAGGGAGATTAGCTACAGCGCCATGGGCTGTAAACTTCTTGACAATGTTGCTCACAGTGGGTACAGGCACAGCCAGATCTCTGGAGATGGACTTGGAGCTTTGAGACTGTCCAGGCTTTTTCCTCAGATCCTCAGACAATTCTTTGCTCTTTCTTTTCTCTGTGTTCAGTGCGGTCCACACCACACAAAGGTTGAGTCAAACTTTCTCTATTTTAAGTGTTTGCCAGTGTGATTTTTATATTGCCAGCACCTGTTGGTTGCTACAGGTGAGTTTCATTACAAATTAAAGGAGCATTACCTGCTTTAAATACAACTATTTCTGATTATTTTGAAACGGTGTCAATAATTCTCTCCTGTCCATTTTTGGAGTTCTTTGTGGAATGGATCAGATTTGACATTTTCTCTGCTTGTTTTTTGTTGCTCCAATGCTCCAAAAACAAAATAAATAAACATGAGAATATCAAATAATTTGTGATTGAAACAATTTTTGGGAGAAGTGGTGTGCTATCTGACAGAAATACAGGGGGGACAATATTTTTGGCCATGACTGTTAAAAATGTGCAACAAAATTCAAAATGACAAAAGAGAAAATTTTAGTAAAATTTAAGTACGTAGTTCTTTTTCTTACAGAATGAGAGACAAATCAGTGGTAATGCGTGAATCCGCAAATGTAACATTTCTGTCTTTGCTCAGGTTTAAGAAGATCATTCCTATCCCTGAGCAGAGTTTGATCCAGATGCTGTGCTACTTGCTGGAATGTCTGCTGATTCCAGAAAACACCCCGCCAGACTCCACCAAGGAGCTGTATGAGCTCTATTTTGTCTTTGCTGCTGTTTGGGCCTTTGGGGGAGCCATGTTCCAGGACCAGGTACTGTGTTGGCCTCTGGGCAGGGGAGGTACTTAGAAAGTGGTTGTGTAAAGAGGGAAAAGAATGGGACATAACTAAAAACAGCTGAATGACTTTTTTTTTTATAATAATAACTCCTCCCTGAAAGAGTTCTCTGTACTTGTATTATGGGTATTTTGGTATTATTCAAGCGCTGAGGCCTTTTACCCGACTACTTTATATCTGTGTTTAGGAAAAATCATTTCAGAGTTATTTTCGGTTGAAGAAATGGCAGGTTTCTAAAAAGGGAGAGATCTCCATCTGAAAATGAAGTGGACTCTATTCCCGCTAAACAACAAACAGGCTGGCTGAATTTAAATCAGTGGGAGAGTCATGGCGAGCAGTTGCTAAGCAATCCAGTTAGTGCCATACAGTAAGCGCATCTATCTAGGTTATAGGATAAAACAGCTTTCCCCTTGGTACAAATGTACTCCACTTTATTTTCCCATCACAGATGCATTTAAATGCTAAGTGGTTTTATTGACTGGATAGTTGGGAGTGGAGTGAATCGAGGAGACAGGTACCAATGGGTGGAGAGACAGGGAGGAAGGCGGGGAACTGCGAGGCAGCAGGAGATGAGGCTACTTTACTGTCTGAATCCGACAGATGGATAGGGAGGCCTGCCATCACTCATTTTCTACTCTTCAACTACTGCAGCTGTATCATATCACTGTGTTGCTGCCGTTTATTTGTCGTCTGGTTTGTATTCACACCAGTGTAAATCAAATGCACAGATCCATAACTACAGTAAGGAGGAGTAAAAGCAGAGAGGAAGTCAGTTTGGAGTATTGACTGCTCGCCTACCCTCTGTGTCTCTGCATGTGTGCTCTGTGTGAGTGTAGCTGGTCGACTACAGAGTGGAGTTCAGCAAGTGGTGGGTGGCCGAGTTCAAAACCATCAAGTTCCCATCCCAGGGCACTGTCTTTGATTACTACATCGACCCCGAGAGCAAGAAGTTTGAACCCTGGTCTAAAATGGTGCCCAAGTTTGAGATGGATGCGGATACACCGCTTCAGGTACAGTGTGTTGTGGATTAGTCATGCCATGGGAAATTTTTGCAAGGATTTGCCCTAGGTTTCATCTCCTGGACTTATCCTTACCACGGATGTCCCGATGCAGTTTTCTTGGCCCTGGTATGGATCCATTTCCTTTAACATTAAGCATTTGCAGATCTGATAATTATATTTACCTACAGTAAATGTTCACTAAATATCTGACATATTGAAATGAACCAGACACACCATATGTTTCAGTAGCTTCTTGATACTGGATCAGGTCCTGGTTCCAAAATATGTTTATTAGCTTAGTTTATTAACTCAGTACATAACTTGGTCACAGTTCTTTAATAACCAAATCTGTTTGATTATGTTTAAGAGTTACTTAAAATAAGTAAACAATGGTAGATATAGTGTGATTTAAAAGATTTAAAAATAGCCAACATCATTGCTTTATTTACCTCAACAATGCAGCATCCTTTGTCAGGTAACAACATCTTTTGGTCTTTTCAAGGTCTTCGCACTATGAGGATTTACTGCTTTTTTCACTTTTATGTCAATGTAAGATAAAAATCGTTGGTTATTTGACAATGCCATTGTCAAATTCAGAAATCTTTTTATACATTGTAGACAAAATATTAAATATTTCATTCACATATTAATTAAATAATTCACATATGAATTAACAATCAAAATATACAACATATCAATCGATAACAGCGGCTGTGCAAATGTGTTTTTGTTATGTGTGTGTTTCACATGTGCAGGCATGCCTGGTCCACACGACAGAGACCATTCGGGTGCGTTACTTCATGGACCGCCTACTGGAGCATCGTCGGCCTGTCATGTTGGTCGGGAATGCTGGGACTGGGAAGTCTGTTCTGGTTGGGGACAAACTAGGATCCTTGGATGCAGAGAAATACATGATTAAAAATGTCCCCTTCAATTATTATACCACATCTGCTATGCTCCAAGGTAGGAGCTGTACATTTGTATTTTACTCTTTATATAACTATCTGCCAGGTGTCTGCTGATATAATCTATTAGCATTTTATTGATGGATTAAAGTTCAAAATCAGTCCTGACTGCTGCCTATGGTAAGTCTACTGCCTTTGTCCTTGCCCTCAAACTCTTTTCCACTGCCCAATGCCCCTGCATACTGTATATATGGAACATTCTGTAGATACTGTACATTCTTCACCTGTCCGCAAGATAACATCTTACTTTTCCACCACCAGATTCTCTCTGCCTGCCTGCTCACCTGTTCCTCCTCCTTCAGTCAGTTTCCAAAGTGCTTTCCTCACTTTCTTTTACTATTTTCCACGTTGTAAATGTTGCTTTGGGCATGTGCACTCCAGCCACTGCTATCCGTACCTGATCCTGTTTCCTGTTCGTGCCAGTTCCCATAACCTGGCCCTGTGCCTGTGGTCTCATATGACATGTTTTGATCTTTACACTGGCTTCACAGCAAATTCAGAATCCACTTCAAGATTGGGTTTAGAGCCTTGTGTGATCAGGCATCTGCCTACATTAAATAGCTACTGCATTTGCCCTGCCTCCTGGTTGTCATTCTCTGAGGTCTGCTGCTCCATCACTCTCCAGGCTCCTGAGCACCTGCCTCCTACTGTCCCCCCAGCCACTAGGCAGCATACCTAAACACTCCTTTACATATGGACTGTGCCCCTCACTGTGTCTCTACCCCCTGAATCCCACCTCCAGACACACCCACCCTGCCTAATTTGAACTTCTGTTAGTCTTTTGACAGCACAATTCATATTCATTTATTATTTATTAAGTGCTTCTGACTTGTCACAAGGATTAGCTGTGGATACTGGAGTTTCACTGACTGCTCAGTCAGTGTGAAGGACATTGCATGAAGTCAACCTCTACAGCGTCCAAGAAGAAAGCCATTGCCACTGCTCCTGAATGGTGGAAAAACTGCAGGATGAAACTTTGCCAAAGAACATGAAAGACGCCTGATGACTAATGGCAGCATGTTTTTTGTTCAGATGAAACCAAATTAAAGTAGTTTGGATCAGATGGGGTCCAGCATGTTTGATAGTGGGCCTAGCCAGGGCTACTACCACAGTGACTGCATAGTGCTGACTGTGAAACTTGGAGCTGGGAGTGTAGGCTGCACGAGGTGTAGGGGAGGTGACATTTATACATGGTACTGAATGCAAGTTTGTAAACCCAGAATAATATATGGTTCCCAGTCGTAAGAGCCTTGGCAGGAGAAGAGGAGAGGAATTTTCCAACATAACAGTGATCCCATTCAGTGGTCTGGAGGCAACTATAAAACCATTTGAGCCAACATGTGGACTAATTAAATACACACCTCACTTGACTCCACATTGGCCAGACAAGTGGATCATTTTCACTTTTGCTGTTGATTTCTAATAACAGTATAATGTAAATGACAGTGCTCTCGTCATCTAAAAACCTTAAGAATTACAGTAAAACTATAAAGTATTTCTAAATACAAAAAGCAAAGGTTACAAAAATAAACAAAATATTCCATATCAGTTTAGTTTTTTCTTAATTCCTCCACATCAAGTATCTCACAGCCCCTTGAATTCATCTTGCTACCCTGTTTGCCTCCACCCCCGACTCTAATAGTAAGAAATAAATAAATACTATTTAAGTGACATCTTTCCAAGTGCTAATTCTTTCTTTCCTTCAATTCTGCTCTCCGCTCCCTCGCTCCTCTCCTGCACAGCGGTATTGGAAAAGCCCCTTGAAAAGAAAGCAGGGCGTAACTACGGACCTCCAGGCAGCAGACGGCTGATCTACTTCATAGACGACATGAATATGCCCGAGGTGGATGCATATGGCACAGTGCAGCCTCACACACTCATACGGCAACACATGGACTACAACCACTGGTAAGGCTCTGTCATTAGCATGCGTCTATTGTATATGCATAAGCAAGCAGGAGTACATGCAGAGGAGCATTATTCCTTGTGCCAAAATACCTTATCAGTCGTGGAACTGTTCCTCACATTAATGGCCTAAATGATGAACAGTTTCAGGCAGTTTCTCCATGTGCTAACACAAAAAAGGATCATTCGGATAATGGAGTGCCAGCAGCTGATAAGTATAATACCCTAATAATTCACATGAACAGCCTTTCTACTGAAAATACCATCCTTTTAGTATTCAGACAGGTCCCCACCTCACTATCAATATGCTACCTGTACAACCAATTTGAGTGTCAAAAGTCAAATGTGAGAGCAGGGTTGTATGATTCCCCTTAAAAGGATTTTATTGCTCATTTCTCTGACACAGTGAGGCCATTCTGAACAAGGTTCCACTGTGTCAGACACAGGCTGACTGGCTTAGACACGATCAGCCCATTAAAGATATGCAGGGAGGATTTCAGGTATGAAATTGAGAGGAAGGAGGATGCTTCTGAGCCACGGCAGCTTAAGAAAGAGCTCAGGCGTCCCTATCGGCAAAAGCATGGGGAAGTTGTGTGTGCGTGAGCATGCAAGGCTCTTAAATGATATTTTCTTTCTTCATGTTTGTGTGTGTGTGTGTGTGTGTCCTCCCAGGTATGACCGTAATAAGCTGCTTTTGAAGGAAATACACAGCGTTCAGTATGTGTCTTGCATGAACCCCACAGCTGGCAGCTTTACTATCAATCCACGACTACAGGTACACACGCACACACCAACACACGCACAGCATGTTGTGTTGCACTGGCTATGCAACACAGTGCTGAGGTTACATGTGCTCTAATTCCCTTTTCACATGTTACCATGGGCGGTCTTTTCCTCAGTGTTAGATTAAATTACAATGTTCTACACCGATTGATCGATTGATTTACTGTTTTTTTTGGCAAAATAGTGAATGCTCATTTTTTAAATTCATTTATTTGTTGAGGCTTTCATGTAACATTCATTAGATTCTGACAACACTTTAAGGAAAAACATTGTAATTCAGCATTTAGGAAATGACACTGGTTTGCCTGAGGGTGGTAGCACATTATTTTCTTCTTCCTTTGTGTGTATTGCAATATATTAGACTGATGTAGCAAAACACATTTGTCAAAGTAGGAAGCCAAGATTACTGTCCATGTGTTCATTCACTGTTTGTACATTCATTTGTACATCTGTCTGATGTGGCAGACATCTGTCTCATGCACCCTGGTTATTATACAGTTTTGGGAGTAATATGTGTGTTATCTCAATATTACTTCTGATTAGGGGTGGCTCAATACCACCTTTTTATGTCCAATACCACAACCTTGAGCATCTGCTGATACCGATCCAATGCCATTGTTTCCGGCTTCGTAAACAATTAAGCTGTTTAAAGGAGGGTGCCTTTCATGCTTTTGATTCTCTCATTAGCCTCATTTTCTTGTGTGAGAATGTGTTTAAAGAGTTAAGGACTGACAATGGGGATGACATCAGATGGAGATGAAGAGCTTACCTCCCTTGTCAACTCCTCAAATGGGGCCAGAATTGCCATGGTCTTTTCCAGTAGGCCCCACTGGTTTACAGTCAATGTGGCTGGCAGGTCATGCTCCACTGTGTATGCACACAGGGCCCGTTTCTGTGCAATGAGGCTCTCGGTCATGTAATACATCCTGTTCCACCTCGTTCGTACAGCTTGTTGCAGATGCTTGGGTGGCATATTCAGCTCCAGTTGAATGTCCTCCAAGCATGAAGGCAAGTGCTGAGTGCTTGAAGTGACCCATGATTTTTCTGTCGATAGCCAGTGCATCACTTACACTATGCTGTGATAGCTGTCCCTCATTCACAATAGGTTGCAGAGTACTGTATATTAGAAGCATGCCAAACAAGGAAATGACATGGACTTTACTCTTCTCAGTTTTTTGTGTATTTGTACACCTCCTCCGCTGCTGCAGCGATGGACTCTCCTGTGTATGAGCCATGAAACTGTTTAGCCTGCAGCAATGTTTTTTGAAAGTAAAGCTTGATTCTGTGCAGTCAGACTGAGCTCTAGATGTCAGTTGGAAAACTAGTCATGGCAACATTTTCCAAACATTTTGAAATTAATCCTCCTACTTGCCTGTACTTTGTCATAGCCGTGTCAGAGATGGAATACTGGGTTGGCAACGTGTAGTGAGGCTCCACACACTCCATTAAGCATCGAAAACCCACATTTTAAACAACAGCAAGGGGTTGGTCATCCAGCAAAACCAGTTCAGTCACCTTCTCCATTATTAGCTTTGCTTTGCTGCTGTCAGAGGGGAGTTTCTCATGCTTCGGAATTGTTTCTCACATTTCAAAGCCATGATGTTGCTCTGCTCCCTGCCAGGTTCACAAACATGGTTTGATGGGAGGGGTCAGCTGGTCTCCTCAAGTCCCATGCCATTGGATAAATTTACTTGTATGCAGTTCAAAATAAATCTTCAAAAATATTTTAACATTTTAAAAGAATAATTTTTGATATAAAAACACTCCAATATTTTTTTGAAGACATAACCACACAGTTTTTTATTTTATTTCACAGTGTCTTTAATAACCATATTTAAAGTGTTAAATCAAGCACCAGTTGATAGGACAGACATAATACACTGGGCAGACAGAGAATAGTCACAAAGTGGCATTTCAGTCCAATATAAAAGCTCAATGAGAGGATAAGACTCATGACTGGGATGCTGGGCTGTAAACATACTCACTGATCCTAGTTCAACTAAACTTGGAGAACCATTTCTTTAAAGGACAGTCATAAAATTAAAGGTCAAACTTAAAGATGGTCATATCTGAATTTAAAAGGCACCTGTGACTAAATAACAGTCCCTCTTCACCTACTGCTGCAGACACCCATCAGGTGACCTTTGCTTTTATCCTAGAAGGTGACTGTATCATTAGTGAGGAATGACATGTTTACTGTTGCCTTATTTATGCTTCGTCTCCCTCCGTAGCGCCACTTCTCTGTCTTTGCCCTGTCGTTTCCGGGAGCTGAGGCTCTGAGCACCATCTACACCTCCATCCTGACTCAGCACCTGAGAGGGGAAGGCTTCAACGTCACCCTACAGAAGAGCTGCCCCACCCTGGTCCAGTTGGCCCTGGCCCTGCATCAGCATGTCTCCTCCACCTTCCTCCCCACTGCTGTCAAGTTCCACTACATTTTTAACCTGAGAGACCTCTCCAACATCTTCCAGGTGACACACTGATCACAAATATACTGCAAAGTATTATCCAGATGGCAGGTGGACATTCAGTTTGTTTAAAAGAATGACCTTAGGTTAATCTTTTCCCAATGAAATGTCAGAGGTTACCTGGAATAAGCTGTGTGCTTCTTCATATCACTCCCTTACTGTACAAGGAGTGAGTTACCTGACTCTGATGCTCTCTCAGATTTTATGGCTCTGCTTCCCACATGGAAAGAGCCAGACTTCTGTCACTAATTTCTCATCTAAATGATTATTGATTTTAGAGCTGGGTCTGAAAGCTAGAAATAAGTCTAAAATAAGTGTAACAGAAAAGAGAATGAATTTGCACTTCCATGGGTATTAGTGATGATTTAATGTATTTAAATGGATATAATATCAGAGTGCGAAGGCTGTCAAGGCAAAAGCTTTTGGGGCGATATTTCTGTCAGAATCCTCCACGGTTTCACGGAGGGCAGCCTGTCTCATTTAACACAGTTTGTTGTATAATTAATGCTTTAAGCCACTCAGCTATAGGTACTGAATTTTTTTTATAATTCCCTCTAGAAGTTCACAAAGGCAGCTCTAAGTTCTTACTGTACTGTTACTATAGGTGTAATAAAATGCTGTTTTATCTGCATCTCTTTAAAGCTGCACTAATCAATAAGCTTTATACTGATAATGCATTAAATGAGTTGTTTCTAGTTTGGACTCCACCACTTGCAGAAAAGGCAGATCGGTTAAAAGCAAATATGCAAGCAAAGATGGACAAGGTCTGGAAACAGTTGTGTGAAAACCGAGATCTTCGGAAAAAAGTTCACACCCTGCCTACTTTCACACCTGGCAAAGCATAATGTGGGTGCGATTGCCTGTTTCTGTAAGTTTTCTGGCGTTGGGAAGGGGCTATATAATGCCATCCAATTAGCACTTTGTTTTAAGCATAGTGAGGCGTTCCTGTACTGGATTTCAGCCATTATGAGTTGATTTTTAGCAGGTTTTAAACTTACTGCACTTTGAGATTAAGTATAATTACCTTCCCACAGTGCAAGCCCTGATGACCTCAGGACTTACCTTTCAGAACCTTCTTCACACATAAGAATGCCTTCAAGCAGCAGGGAGTTTAGTTGCATCATAACACTTTGAAGCCAGTGTTTATAGAGGCCATTCTTCATGTTCTGTTGAAAACTTTGCTTTTTAAAAGGATCTGCACAGTGTGACTGGATGTCCAATATCCACAGAGAAGAAACCGTGTCAAAGCTTTCTTGCTGTTCCTCTCCCCTCCCATAGAAAGAATGTAAAGAAAACCAGAAAGGGACTCCTAGAGCTCATTTGAAGCTTTTTATGGCCTAACTTATTCAGCTCCTGGTTCTAACACCGTAGGACAGGCGCGAGGAGGTGAGCTGCCTTGCAGCTGGAATTTCCCTAGTGTACTGTACATCTATGCTTGTGCGCCTTCAGAAGTAAGAAGGTATTTGGTGTGACACTATAGATGCTCCTCTGATTTTGAGCATGAGGCCTAAATGGTTGTCACTCAATGTTTTCTGGTCTGACGTTTCCAATGTTGGCCTCAGCTGAAATAATTGGGTGACTGTTTGTAAATCACTTTGTTTTTTTAAACTTTGGAACTTGGAGATGTAGCCAGAGGCAGCTGTCTCATTATGATCCCATCTAATGAGCCAGAGAGATGAGCTCAGAGACTTTGTGTGAGCGTACAACACTCCTTGTAAAGGTGTTTTTAAATGTGACAAAAGAAGCAGGTTCAGACAGTGCTCTAGGTTGCATCTTTATGAGAGTATTATTGATGTTATTTGCTGACAAAATTCTCAGATTGTTGTTTCTGCTGAATTGTAAGTACCCAGTAGAAGCTAATGCTTTATTTTCTGTTTTTCTCTGCTTCTTCTTTCAATTTATCCCTTACCACTTACTTGTTCTCCTTAATACCCCCTGTATCCATAAATGTCTACTTTCTCTAGGCATTGAGGCGATCATTGCGTCCCATGGATATTAATTTAGATGCACTGTAAGTACAGTAGCCAGTTTCCACTAATAAGGCAAGACAAACAGTTTGGCATCCAACTGGGAGTGTTGTCATGAGTTCTGTTTGCCAGTGTTCTTTCTCTGCCATGACCAACAGGCATATCCAGAGGCTTGTCTAGCCCACATCAACCTAAATGAGCTCCTTGAAGCTCAAGAGACAAGGGAGGAGATGGTGGAAAGATGAGCAGGGTGAAAGAGGAGGACTAAGACAAGGAAAACAGAGTGTACAAGACTCGCAGTGCAGAGAGACTCTGAAGTCAAACTGTACTGACTGCACAATATGTCCGTATGATGTTCTGTGGATAGTCAGCTGGGTGCATTTGTTAGCGGGCGGAGCATTGTTTGGGGCTCAGAGCAGCTGTCAGGCAACGAGGAAAGTGTGCCCACTGCAGTCAGCCCGACAGACAGACAGATACATGCAGACACCCACAACGCTCCAGTCCCTCTCCTCAGAGTTGAACAAAGCAATGAAAGACCAGAGACACAGAGGATGAGGTAGGCTGCCAAAGTCAGCTGGATAGAAGGAAAACAAAGTTCCCTCTCCTTCACAGTTAGTTAGCGCTTTGCTTTTTGCTCAGATGGTACGACGAACAGCTAAGCAGCAAGTGTGACTGTTACAGTATATAGAGTTCCCATATGGTGTTCTGTTTTACTCAGTCACACTTTTACACAGAAAATAGTGTGTGTCATGACTGACACCATAAAGCAATGATATGGAGTAGAAAAAGATATCAATTAAAAGTCAAAAGATTAGATCAGTCACACAGACATCTTGACATTTGTAGATCTAGAGTAGTGGCTATAATTCTGGCTCAGTTTGAATCTTCAGTACACAAACCATGCAAATAACCACACATACAGCACACCTCCCGTCTGCACCATTACACAGTGGATTTAGGATCCAGTTGTTACATTCAGTGGGCTCAGATATGAAGGCAGATCAGATTCAGCTGGCTTTACCCCTGGAGATGATTCTTTTGATTAGAATAAGCTGTGGGTCTGAAAGCGCACAACATCTGCTTGCCTCTGCCTCCTGGGTGACAGTGCAGAGAGGGGAGAAAACAGCGCCTGGGGGCCGCTCTCTCCCCTTTCTCATCCTATACAGCACCTGTTTTGTGAAGATTGTGCCGAGTTATGCCTGGCTGCATCATGTGGGAAAGCCAAAACGTCACACAGGCGTCCTTCAGAGACTCATTAATCATCAATCATTCAACAACCACTCATCTGCGTATTGTCATGATTTAGTGATTTAATTTCAGCTTTTTATTTATTTATTTCTTAAGAAAACACAGCTGTTTTCAGTTTTACTAGCTGTGTGGCTCTATGGATGACAATGTTGGCCAATCTGTCAGTCAGGTGGATCACCACTTTGGTCCAGACTGAAGCATCTTAACAATTAGGGAATGTATTATCATGAAAATGTATATAGACATTCATAGTCTGAGTCCTCATGATCCACAGCATGACCCCCCTGACTTTTCCTACTGCCTTTTTCTGGAATTGGTTTTCTGGTGAAATGTCTCCACAGCTGTGTGATGAATTGCCATGAAACTGTTACAGACATTCTGGTCCACATAAGAATGAAGTGTAATACTTTTTTTGATCTCTCGAAGAAGAAGCCGCTGCTTCACGGTTTGCAGCTGCACATGGGGACAAAGATCTGACTTTTTGGAGCAATGTTCTCTGGACTAATGAAACAAAAACTGAACTGTTTGGCCATAATGACCATTGTTATGTCTGGAGGAAAAAGGGGGAGGCTTGCAAGCTGAAGAACACCATCCCAACCGTGAAGCACGGGAGTGGCAACATCATGTTGTGGGGGTACAAAGTCAAGGTATTGGAGTGGCCACCACAAAGCCCTGACCTCAGTCCAATAGAAAATATGTGAGTAGAACTGGATAAGTGTGTTTGAGCATGGAGGCCTATAAACCTGACTCAGTTCCACCAGTCCTGTCAGGAGGAATGGGTGAAAAGTCCAGCAACTTATTGGAGGAAGCTTGTGGAAGGCGTCCTGAAACGTTTGACCCAAGTTCAACAATTTAAAGACAAAGCTACCAAATACTAAGTAAACTATGTGTACTATGTAAATTTCTGACTTCAGCTGTATATATCTAAATTTTAAAACAATTAATGTTACAAAAGAAGTCAAATTCTAAATAGTTGTACCATTAGGTATTATTTTTCAAGGTGCTATCATCACATTACTATGGATCTAAATCTATGCTTTTTATGTAGACTGTCATACAGACTGAAGTAACATGAACAGAAAACATCCAAACATTGGAATTCTACCCAAATCAGTGTATTTAAAAAATATATATACAACACTAGACTACTTTGACCCTCATAATATGATTGCTTGACCATGAAAACCTGACCTGCTGCTGGAATTTTGAAAGATGCTGATATCTTTTTTCATTTGAAATTTATTTAGCACAGTTTTATTTGTAGGCTGTAGTGCCAATTCACAACAACAAGGGCACAGTAAGGTCTAGACTGGAAAACCCATCAAATCCCCCTTGAGCAGGCACTCAAGAAAAACCATCGACATGACACACATCCAGTCATTGTGTCCATGCAGATTCTCAGTCGTCCAGGTCATAGTAAGCTGATAAAACTTAGAAAAATCAACTGATCAGAACTGATGAAGCAGTGAAACGTCTTTGACTTAAAAACCTAGTCCAGCTGATTTTTCTGGGTTTTTTTTCAGCATTCAGTCATTGTATTAGGTGTAAACGGGGACTTCAGTGAGTGGACCATGGACAAAGACGTCACATTTCTGCAGGTTTGCTTGTTCGATGGCTGTTTTATAAGCTGCTAATAAGTCTCTGTTACTGCAGGACTGCAACCCCTCGAGAAGTGAAGCAAAGTAGGACGGTGCGCCTAATCCTGTGAGGTTATGCAAGATGACGGTAAAGGGAAGCACGCGGTGTAATGCTTGTTAGGTTCTGACAGTGAAAACGCAGCTATAATGCACAGCTGGAACACCGGCGTCCTCACAGACAGGCTGCTGTGCTCTGAACGAGATGTAGCTGCCTGCTAACAGAGCTAACTTGGTCAGATAAAGAGCACTCACAACCACAGACATGTATATGTACAGTACTGTATATGTCCTTGCTGACAACTCTGAAAACAGCAGGACAAATTCTAAATTGTCATTATCTGAATAGACTGACCACATACAGTACTGTCAGTCTCAGTGGTTACTTCATCGCTTGAAAGAATGTCAGAACTTAATAAAATGGCATAATACCATTCCTGATGATTACAACTTTGAGCCTGGCTCAAAATCTCTGCTGTCGCTGCAGAGAATAGATCGTTGCCTAGCTCTTGGCTGTTGCCTTGCTGGGCTCCTTCAGTCCTTCTCCCCTGTCTCACACAGCCGGGTGTACTGAGTGACAGCACCCAGCTTTCACAGACAATGAATGGGCAGCTGTCACTAACCCAGGGATTTGTCTCTGTATGTGCTTGGAATGCTCAGAAGCCCAGCTGTGCACTTTGGCCACAAGGGGGCTCACATACAGTGGATAATCTTTAAAAATATTCCTGTAGTAAAATTATTATAAAGATCAGCATCAAAATCTAATCAGTTGTTCTGTGACCCATATGCTACCTCTCCAGAAATGTAATCCAAATCCATTCATTACTTTTTGAGTTATGCTGTTAACAAACAAACCCGCAAAAAACAACAAATGTCGGCAAAAACATAGCCCTCCACCCCCCCCAACCCCGGTAGAGGTAAACATACACATTCAGTCTGTCAGTCAGTCAGTCTGTCACTCACTCACACAGTGGGAAGCCACAGCCGCATGAGAGCACATTCACTGAGAAATATTAGCGAGTCTTCCAAGGGAAAGGCGTTAAAATCTGGCCCAAAAGTCACTGGATTTGTTGCTACTGTATTTGCTTTTCTGACTAAAGCTGCTTAAAGGGTTTTAAAAGTCACCAAATCAAGTGGGAAAATGGCTAAGTTGGCAATAGTGGTCTCACAACACTACAGTAACTGTCACATCTATACATGTGTGTGATTAGTAGTAGAAAGTGTGTATGGAAGTCACACAGATTTTGGACAATCATAAAATAGCAAACAAGAAAAGTGGGTCATTCCAGGCATGGTCTCAGTTTTGTTTGAAAATAAACACTTTGGAAGCATTACAGTCAAATACAGACTCATTCTTTGATTTTTCATCTTTCATTTCTTATCTCCACATGCAGCAGTACTTCTGAGACAGTGAGATGAAAGTAGTGCTGCCATTATTTTCTGAGTTTCTCTGACACACCTGCTAAGAGCTTGCCCACTCAATATATATTGATTTACCTACTGTGACTGTGCTGTGTTTCTGTCCTTGTTGTAGTGTAAATGGGCCAAATCAGCCTCTGAAATGAAACTCTAAGCCTCGCTCTGTCCCGTCCCTGCTCAGGGTATTCTCTTCTGTTCTGGCGAGTGTCTAAAAACCCCTCCTGACCTGGTGAAAATCTACCTGCACGAGTCCAACCGGGTCTACAGAGACAAGCTTTTGGAGGAGCAGGACTTCCAGGTCTTTGATAAGCTGCAGGCGGACACAGTGAAAAAGTTCTACGAGGTGAGAGTTTTTACAAAGTTCGGTGAGAGGAAGGGAAAAACGGGAGGCTGGGGCATGGTGGAAGGGAGTGGAGGTGAAATCATTAGGCTGCCTGCTCTCTGTCAGGACCTAGACATCAGTGGCCAATACAGCAAGGAGAAAGAGGAGGGGAGACAAAAGACTGTGAGAGGACAGAGGGCCAGGAGAGGGTTGGAAAGAATATTAATCAGTATGCTGTGGGGGTCTGGCTGTCAGGGTCTGCACTGTCAACCCAGCAAATTGGAAAACATTTTAATGGTTTTCTGTCCACTGCTGCCCTCACTACCCTGACTGGCTCTCCCGCATGCACACTTCTCATGCCCCAATGAAGAACCTGAAAAGTATATGTACACACATACAGGAAGAGAAGGAGAGAGAATAATTGCACCCAGTCCAGAATGCATTATTCAGAGATGGCATCTTCTGTAAACTTAAGACAGTTTATCCCTGTGCCACAGAGCAATATGCAGCACGTTTTCTTGATATTTTTACATACAAACAAAAGAGTCTTCAGAGCTTGTTCCATTGGAAGGAAGCGCTCTTGATACTATGACACTGAAGACTGCGCTGGGCCATAATATAGATGTGAAATAACGAAATTCCCTGTTCATCACACCTACTGCAGCTTTATGCCAGTGGAGATTAGCAAGGGAAACAAACATCCCTTAGAAACACACAAACTCTCTCTAGTGAAATATTTGTGGCCCAGTGGTTGCCAGGGTGAAAATGAACTAGGTCAAGCTCTGCACAGCTGTGATATTCAGCTGTGTCCCTGTCCAGACTGTTTAAGCTTAGCACTAATATTACGCTGACAGGGGTAGTGTGTGGGTCTGTGTGTTCACCACTGCAATATGTTTGTGTGTCTGTCCCTGAGGACATGGAGGAGACTCTGGAACAGACCAGGGAGATGAACCTGTACTGCCACTTCGCTCATGGTCTAGGGGAGCCAAGGTACATGGCTGCAGAGTCCTGGAGCAGCCTCAGTAAAATCCTGCTGGAGGTGTTGGACAGCTACAATGAGGTGAACGCCACCCTAAACCTGGTGCTGTTCGAGGATGCCATGGCTCACATGTGAGTGGAAGTTTTGCAACCCCAGAGACTGTGCAGGGAGAGTTCGGAAAGAATAAAGAAAATGTGTTATTGTAAGTTTTTTTTATTGTCTGTCAAGGATATCAAAAGGCTTCCCAGATAGTTTAGGGTTAACAGTTTCATTTTCTAGACTGTCAAAGACAATGACAGGGGAATCTGTAAAATATCAAGCAGCTTGCCATATGACAGCATCACAAGAATGCAGTCTAAAACTGTGTTTGGGCAAGAATTTCCTTTTCTTTGTGTTGATAAAATAAAAGAAAAACATCACATTTTGGGCATTTGACCCATAGACCCCTTGATCTGCTAGAAAGTGTGGTCATATTCTATATTTTCTTATTGTCAATAAATCCCTTAAGACCCATGCCACCATTGTGTCTATAAGTCAGTACCATGTTTAAGTTTAAGCAGAGATGCCAGGCTTATTCTTTAAGTAATGTGAATAAAGATACTACAATCTTGCAACCACTTAGATAATATAAAGTACCTGACAAATGATAACTGACAAATGATTTGCTTTGCGTGCTTTGGAACTAGCTTGTTTGGTAAGGGAAGGTGATAAGTGAAGGAAGATAGTGATCTGGCATTGCACATGAAAATGTGCTCACTTGATGTTCTAAAAATATGTTTCTTTTTTCATATTTATGAACTCGCAAGTTGTATAATAACAGCGCCCCATCAATTTGTTCTGAAAAGGTTAGTACCTTTATCTGTTTATCTAGTGTTTTGCCAAGTATGAACATGGAGAAGAATGATCTGTCAGGGAGCTACAGAAGTATTTAGACTCTCATTATTTAATAAACATACAGAAAGTTTCTTTTTCTGAAGAAAATTAAAGTGTGCTCACTTTGAAAATGCCAGCTGCAAAATATTGTAAGCTCATTTTTTGTATAGTTAATATTATAGGGGTTAAATTGAGTTGTATAGGTCTAGAACTTAATTTGAATGACTAAATGAAGTTAAAGTGTCAGTAAAGTTAAAGCACTGAAATAGGATAGAGTTTAAGCTGAAACACTGAAGGTAGCTGAGTTGTTGAATAAGCTGACATGAGTTTAGGCGTCATCATTGAAAGCATACAAATGTTCAGCCTAAGACCTTTAGGAAGTCGAGTTGTCAGCTTGTGCAGTGCACTGAAATTACTTTTATTACAGTTTTAGAGAAAAACTCAAAGCAATTAAACATCACCTGAAATGTGTGAAAGCAGCTGAGGTGCCAGTTGATGAGCAGACTGAAATGTTAGTTGTCATATAAGCACGGAAAGAGGCTACATCGTCATAAAGTTTGAGATGAAAGCAGTTTAACTGTAAACAATGAAAGCTGCTGAAACTTGAGTTGATGCAATAGAGTAAGTCGAGGCATGTGCTTAAATTTAAGCACTGAAAGTGTTTAAATTAGGCTGCATACACAAAGGCGTTTGCCCTAAGTTAAAACAGTGCAGGGGGCTGAAGAGGTATTTATTGCACACAAATAACTGTCAAAGCTAGCAATGACTTAACAGTTGAAGAAGCTAGAATAAACAATCTTTAAGAAAAATAAATAAAAAGATCTGAATGAAATGAAATATATCAAATAACAAAACTACAATAAACTATAATAAACAATTTGAACTGCTCAGCAATTTGAAACAAACTACTCATTTTCTCATCTTGAGCACAGTGTGCATGACTCATTGCTGCACTTAATTTTTCTTGGCATTGAAAAAATTTCCAATGTATGAAAATTGTTGCACAGCTCTGGGTCCGAGCCAGATGCTGTTCTGTTGATTCCTTTTGGCTGGTTCACCGACAGCTTGCGTTTGATCCACATACTGTATACATGTGTCACCAATGCTTATAGTAACACTGATCAAAATTACTTTAAAGTAATCTTTATTTGAAATTTTGAGTCATCAGAATGTAATTACAGTTATCTGGAATTCACATTTTGGAATTTGAAATTGAATTGTAGATATCATGAAGTAGTTTTCCCTTTGAAATCAATGAGGAATTGGTACTAGTCAAAATGTATTCGCAAATATCTGTAGTTTAAGGCTTGATTAGTCAAAATTGAAGTGCAGATATCTTGAATGATAGTTCTGACTAGTCGTAAATACGTGGTAGATAGCTGTAATATGAATTCTGTTGATTTAATACTGTAAATGCTAAAACGGCACAGTGATGTCATTTTGGATATCCAGAAAGGAATTGTGACTAATCAAAATGTAATTGTAAATATCTGAAACTGTCATTCTTACTGGTCATGATACAATTGTAGATATCTTGAGTCACAGTGTAATTTCAACTAGTCAAAAATGCCATTTTAGATATCCGCAATGCAATTATGGATATTGAAGTGAAACCTTTTAAATGTTAAAATCATCTGCCATTGACTGGCAGCCGAAGAGCAAAGAGTAGCTGAGCTGTTAGTTGAGGTGAAAGAGATACAAGCAGCTAAAGTGGAAAAGATATTAGGTGAAATGTCAGCTGAATTATACACAATGAAAGCAATTAGCTTTTTTTTGTCAAAGCGCTGAAGAAAATGTAGGTGTGTATGCTGTAAACAAGTGTCAGTCCATATGTAAGAAGTGACAGCAGTTTAAGTATTTTAAGTTATTGTTCTTTCTGACAACAACTCCAGATGAAGCAACAAAAATCAAATCAGTTTATATAAATTGAAGAGGCAGAGGGAACATTCATCTTGTATTAATGAAGGCATAAGGGTTCTCAGGAGCAGAGTAAAATTTAGTCTAATGTTTAAAACATTTCTGAATTAAACGGAGTGATGAGGATGCTGGCAACAGGCGGTATAAAAGTAGAGAGAGAGACTACCTGTGCTTGTTTGTCTTTTGTTTGTTTGTCTAATGAGTCAGAGATTGTCTGTATCTAGCTTGCCTCCCACTAACCTTTATCTCACTAATTTCTCCCTCACACCTCTTCTTCTTCCCTCCCCTGACCGTCTGCACCTCCACACGTAGCTGCCGCATAAACCGAATCCTGGAGTCTCCATGGGGTAATGCGCTGCTGGTCGGAGTTGGCGGCAGTGGCAAGCAGAGTCTGACCCGGCTGGCTGCCTTCATCTCCAGTCTGGAGGTTTTCCAGATCACCTTGAGAAAAGGCTATGGTATCTCTGACCTAAAGGTGAGAGGAGGACTACACTGCAAAAACACCCATCTGAACTGGTCTTATATACTGTAGGTCTTAAAATTTATTACATGCATACAGTACAGATGAGGTTTAGATTTAAATATGGAGGTGTATTTGAAAGAAATAAAGATACAATCTTGACAATATGTACATGCAGTACTTGTGATCCCA